GTGGCTATTTTAGCTTCTTCTTTGACCACTATTGTGGGTGGGCAGCCATTTTACCTTCTTTGTTGATCACTATTGTGGGTGCATGGGTGGCTATTTTAGCTTCTTCTTTGACCACTATTGTGGGTGGGCAGCCATTTTAGCTTTTTCTTGCTCTCTGTTGTGGGTGGGTGGCCATTTTAGCTTTTTCATTGCTTACGTTGACATTTTACATTCGTCCTTGCTCTCCGTTTTGAGTGGGCGGCCATTTGGTGGTTCATTGTAGGAATCTTGGATGTGTGGTAATACTTGATGTCATTATTCTTCCATGCATATACAGGTATGCGAGAAACAAGAAGCTGGCGGGTCGTTTGACCTTGACTAGCGAACGCGCGCCCTCGAGACTGAACGGTCAGCTACAGTTCACCTATCCCGGCAGAGAGATCACAAGCCAAGCTACCATCGAGAAAGTCCGACCCGGTTAGTCCGACAAATATTCGCCAATCCAACTCATTATTTTCCGGTGTTACTTTATAGTCGTTGAACCTTTCTTCGTTTAAAAACCTTATTGTTTTAACATTTGTTAAACCTTTATTAATCTCTTTTAGATTTATTTCTCTCTGATTCTTTCTCGAGTTCTGTCTCATCGTGTTTCCAGCGCGTACGTCACACGCTTGCGTAACACTAACTGTGCACACGTTAAATGGGGTGTTGACCCGGCAGCCATTTTAGCTTCGTCGTTGATCACTGTTGTGGTTAGGTGGCCATTTTACTTTCTTCCTTGCTGTCTCCTCACCCGCACCGCGCGCACGCAGGTCTCTTTGACCTGACGTGGACGACGGCGTGGGACATCGGACGACAGGTCGTCGTCACGTCGCAGCTGGAGCGATTCCCCGGGGAGACGTACGACGGAGAGTCGGTGCTCGTCACCGTGGGCCTGCCAGACCGCGACCCGATCAGCGTGCGCGTGCAGAAGAAGTGGGTGCACGCCAGCAACCAGAACAGCTGGGAGTTTGTGCTCAGGTAAGGGTGAAGTCCACAGCTAGAGATAGGTATAGTATGTAGGCGAGGGATGTGAGCTGGGAGTTAGTACTTTTAACGCTGAAAGGTACAAAAGCTATATCGTATATAGGCAATTTAAACAAGATTCTGCGCATAGATTATGATACATGTTATATCAGTTGATAATGTCACTAAACATATGACATTGCAGGCCTAACAGCAATGATGAATACATGATGAAAGCTGTGTTGGAACGCCCTTCAAAGTCTGAGAAGATCATTCAAGTAAGCGCGACACGCCCCGGACACTCTACCGTCACCACCCTCAAGATGAAGGACGGCCCTAAGAAGGTAATTTTGTGAAACGCGATGTGCAGGTGTGACAGAGACACAGACTGCAGACGTGCAAGGATGTGTGCATGACTGCATCAATGCAGTTTCCGTTCAGTTGTGTAAACAGATAAAGGAGACTGTAAATTCTGTCGTTATGAGTCATCATAAAGATTGTCATCAAGGTTATCATTAAGATTGTCATCAATGTTATCATAAATATTGTCATCAAGGTTATCATTAAGATTGTCATCAATGTTATCATTAAGATTGTTATCAAGGTTATTATTAAAATTGTCATCAAGGTTATTATTAAAATTGTCATCAAGGTTATCATTAAGAATGTCATCAAGGTTATTATTAAAAGTCATCAAGGTTATCATCAAGGTTATCAGTTAGTATTGTCATCAATGTTATCTTTAAGAATCTCGTCGAGGTGGGCCGCAAAATTTCAATCGGCAAAAATTAATCTCTCGCGCTTGCAGGTCACTGAGGTCGACATCCGCTGGGACGAGCTTCATGTGACGGTGGTCGCCGGCATGCAGGACTACAGCATCGTCTCCGGTCAGTACCTGCGCACGTTCTCGCTTGACGTCGCTCCGGACGCCGGACACCGGCCCGAGGAGAAGCTGTCGGTGAGCGGCAACGTGACGTATCCGTGCGCGCTGAACACGCTCTGCATCCCGCGGAAGGTCGAGGCGACGGCGCGGTGGGCGCGCGACCAAGTGATCTACACAGTGATCACGCAGGATATCGTCGCGTGGAACGACATGCAGTTCTCGGCGAGGGTGGAGACGCCCTTCAATCCTCTGAGGATGGCTACGTTCACGCAGGTGTGTACTGTGTGTTGATAACTGTTGCCGTGGTAATGTGATAAATAAGATTAAAATGTGTTAAAATTAATTAAATGTGATAATAGAACGCACTAATGATTACAAGATCAATCATTCAAAATAGTCGGGGCAGTTTTGACGTGATAAGATTACGAAAATATTTAAGTAAGCTTGGTATTTTTGCATGGTAGGTTCGTTTCCAGCCTACACCCTTCAAGCAGGTTTATTTTGCGTCTCACATGCGGATTATCTAATGTACCGTTCACTTGTTGCTTCAGGTCGTTCGCACAGATGTGCCGGGAACCATTCTAACCAGCGTAGAGTATAACTCGTACAATCAACAGATGGCGCATCGATCAGAAATCGCGCTGGCGTCGGACCGCACGACGCTAGCGTTCTCTTCTGTTCAGAATGGAAACGAGTACGCCAACGTTGGCCTGACAGGTATGGTACACACGACGAAGGAGCAGACCAAGGTGCCGCGGATGTGTTCGTATTAGATCCACTGCTAATACTATAGTTTCATAGCATCTAATAATATGTTCATATAATCATCCGTCAGTCCGTATGATGGTGCAGTGGGTTGTCATCTATGATAGCACAGTGCGATTTCAAATAAACAAAAAACACTAACTGCCACATGCTATCGCATTGTCTTGCATAATGTGCCATGATAAACACATTCATATTTACAATAATATATAACAATATCAGGGGGTGAATAATGACAAATGAAAATGAATGAGTGAAAATGAATAACGACTGATTTGTCATTATTCACCCCTAATAATATGTGATTATAATATAACGTGTGTGACGTAACTGCTTTAGCATACTTCCGGGGTTCTGTTCGCTTGGAGGGAACGATGGCCGTATCCACGCCGCAGACACGCCACTCTGCTGACGGAAGCTTTGAGTTGCGCAACGGCTCACCCACACTGGAGTTCACATATAACAAAGACAGGTAAAATTGTAGATTATCACTACGTATTTGAAAAAATTTACGTATCATAGGTTTTCTTGACTTTCGTCTAGACTGTTTGACACATACAAAATGTAGAATAACCCCCACCCCCTTATAATTATGTTAGTGTAAGTAAAATAATGCATAAATTATGCATTAATCACTACTCGTTTGAGGTGAAAATATAATAAGTATTAATAGCTTCTCCTTTGAGGTGTTTGTAAACTGCTTCGAGTGGGACAAGTTCATGTATGCAAAACAAATCGACGCCGTTGTAAAAACTTAATCGACACAAAATTATAACATGCGGATGAATTCATCTTCCTTGTCCAGTTGTCTGGTATGCTTGACAACCACTTTACACGAAGAGTAGGATAATGCCATTCAATTATGACAGTATCACCCAAAAACCCTAACCCTAACACATAATTTTAATCAAATTAATTAAATTTAATCAATAAATTATAAAATAAATAATTAATTTTCTAATTAAATACTAAAAATTATTAATCAATGATTAATAAACAAAATCGAACGTAAAACGACGAAAACCTCCAACCCTGACTACCCGTCGCTAATCCGTTTGCACGCGCACGTCCGCATTCCAGACACGAGTACGTCTACGCGAAGACCTCGATGTCCTGGCCTGACAGCGGCATGACGCTCTACCGTTACCGCGGCGACGTTGTCTTCGATGCCAGCTTCACGGGGTCGGGGTCGTATGACCTTGAGCGGGTCGCGAGCTCGATGGACGTGCGGGTGAACGCGCCGCTCTACGTCGACGACCTCCGGGTCGTCTACGAGGCGAGCCTCGCTACCCGCCGTGGCTTCCTGCTCTCCGGCAACGTGCGCATGGCCGGCAGGGAGACGTGCCGATTCAACAGCGACATCACCGGCATCAGGTACAATATAATGCATCTATAGGGTCGATATTTGTATTAACCTGTTGTGTGTATTTGTCTGCTCAAAATGTTGTTGAGGTGTGCTGATTCAACACAGCGACATCACCGGCATAAGGTACGATGTGAGGCGTGAAGTACGATGTGATGTATCTTTGGACCCATAGCCACCTTGCTCAACATTTTTAATGTGTAAATACTCGCATAAAAATCATGTGGGTGTGTGTGGCCGTGAGCCAATTAAAATCAAAATAATCTGTTTTGATTCATTCCCAATTGGCATGTTCATTGTGCGCCGTAACGCACTGATAACGGACGCACTGATAACTCGTTCACGTTCCGATTTAACGCACCGATTCCATTCCTCTCCGTGAAACTCCGTTTCCATCTTGCCGGATTCCAGGTCCGGCGAGTTCTCCTACGTTCACCTCGGCGAACCCATCCTCGCCTTCCGCTGGACCGGCAACGACGAGACGTCGCCCAGCATCCAGTTCCGCCGCGCGGTCGACTTCACGATGAGCGCCCCCTACGACTACGGCGTGCGCTTCGACGTCAGCAAGGTGATGACGGACTCGCTGAAACTCGACGTGGAGTTTGCCGTTAGTACGTACGGTACAGAGCTGGCGAGCGTGACGGCTACCCTCGGTCCAACTCCCTTCACCGGTCTCATCGTCACAAACTACAAGGGACAGCAGGTAGGAGCGAGCACCAGATACGCATTGCGGCATCGCGTCGAGCGAATGAATTCGCTTAACTAATACTGTACTGTTACTGTTACTTAATGACTTCAGTTAACGACTTTGCTGCTTAGTGACTTCAGTTAACGACTTTGCTGCTTAGTGACTTCAGTTAACGACTTTGCTGCTTAGTGACTTCCATTAACGACTTTGCTGCTTAGTTACTTCAGTTAACGACTTTGGTTAATAGTGACTTCAGTTAACGACTTTGCTGCTTAGTGACTTCAGTTAACGACTTTGCTGCTTAGTGACTTC